AGATGAGGCTAAGACAGACCTTCAAAAACTTGTGGGTGAAGAGATCTGCCCATCACACTGCATCACAAGGAACCAGGGAGGTGGATCTGCAATCCTTATTCTGCCACATTCAGATCATGAATACGAACTTCATTCCTCCACCTCTTGGGTTAAAGAATTATGCTCTGGTTCCCTGAACCGCTCCCCACTCCCACCATGGATATGTTCTCTGTCTTCCCGAGTGTTTTAATATAACACAAATCGTTCAGTATCAGAAATATAGCAGATGATAATTGAGTAGTAAAGGCTTTAACCTGGAATGTGGCAGACCTGTCCTTGTTTGGATAAGTAACTGCTACAAGCCACATCCCAGCAGGAAGGACAGAATCCAACCAACACCTCCAGCAGCCTGTTGGATTCTGAGAACCCCAGCCCACATCTCACTCTGAATAGGGCAGGACAGCACGCTGTTACATCAGCTGTTCTATGGTCACAGGAAGGCCTTCTCCCTCAACTGAAGCTCCTTTCTGCAGGTGACATGCTCTCCTAAGGGACCTACCAGACACATTCTCACAAACATGTCCAACCATCCACACATGCAGGTTTACACTTATCTTTCCACCTTGTTATACCATTCTACTGCCCAGCTGCTATTCAGTTTACAACAGACTAACACTATTTTAGTGCTGAGAACACTTGGAACAAAGCAAGATTAAATATATGGTAAAGACTCCTTCACCCTTTAACACAGTATGTTCCAAACTGTGTGTACTGATCCCATACGCAATTTTACTGGAACACAGAAGTTAACTAAAACTTATTCTATTTCTTTGACTTCTCTGTCAGAAAAGAAAGCTTTCTAACTTGCATATTGAAAACACAGCACATTTAAATACAAAAAAAAAAAACACAACAAAAAAAACCCCACACCAATGAAACACCAAAAAAATAGAAAGAAAACAGAAAAACAACAAGGAGTTTTGAAATCAGTAGTTCATACAGAACGTTCTGATCTAATTTATTTCCTTTCGTAAGTGGTAAGAAAGCCAACTTTTAAGTTTAGACAGCCAGAGCCTTCCTTTTCTGCTAAGGAAGAAATTACAGCCAGCAGAAATCATGAAAGGCAATGTTGACTCCGAATGCACAGAATGAAGCAGAAACATCTCTGGGCATTACAGCTCAAGCATGCAATACCTGGAAAGCTCCATCACTATGCTGACCTAAACACAGACAGCTGTAAAGGTAAGAGCTGGTGTGAGACAGCTCGATTTAGAAATGTTTACTTCTTCTTTATTTGCAACACAATTCCACCACTTGTGGTGATGTTTTGTTATTGCTGCAGACTGCACTATGGTAAAGAATGAACCTCTTACAACTGCATTCACCAAATCAGCCAGTTTCTTCAGAAGAAACAGTTCTAAGGGGTCTGAAACACATTGAACAGGAGTCACAAAACACAAGAATTGTTAACTCAACCCATCAAACCAAACACAGGCCCATTCATAAATAAGCAAAGCCAGTTACTACCAGATATCACTGATATGTATTTATCTGAAAGACATATTTTGGTATAGAAATTGGAAGGCACACAGACTGATAATTGCATACTGACACCTCAATTTCCAGAGCACCCCAGTTGCCCCACATTCTGCAGATGGGCAAACCTTAAAGAAGTTTTCAAAATTTAAAGGGCAGACAAATCTTTCTTAAATGAAAGCAGGGCAGAAAGATGTTACAAGCACATATATCCAATACTTTAAAACACCCACAACGTCTCTTGTTCAGAGTTCAACAAGAAATAAAACCAAGACAATACTCAAAAAACAAATACTGTTATTTTGCGCCCTTACTTTACACCACATTTTCATATAAGAAATTACGGCATGAAACAAATTCACCTCAGCTATACTTCATACTTCTGTTCTTCTTCTAACAGCAAGCAAACAAAATAATCCACTTGTAAATAAGTTGTCTGACGTTCAGCTTGTTTTTTTCCATACACAACTTAAGTTTTATTATCGACATGCAGTAAGAAAAGGGCTTTCCTTTCTAATTAAGATAAAGCATCAGACCCTCTGACAGAACACATGCATGTAGTTTTCACCATCTTCACTATGTCATTTACCAGCTAGCAGTCTGAGTAAGTTAAAAAAAAATACCTATTACCACAAACCTGATAATTATTCTGATTCTTTTTTAGAAATAGATGCTAAACTTTAAGATAATTAATATTAAACCATATTTTATGAGAGCTGAATGATGGAGAACAGATGCTAAGATAAAAATTAATTTGCGAAGTGTCAGCTCAGAACATATATGTAAAGCTGCAGTGTTTGCTATTCAAACTACATGCTGAAAACAATGGAAAAAGTTGTCTATTTCTGCAGTGCCTGCCAACCATTTTTTCAGGACTTCATATGGAAATCCCATCTAAACTTAAGAGTCCAGAAAACAGCATTCAGTTTTAGAAACTCTAATGGTTTATTAGGATAAGTACATTCTCTTCTGGGCATCTATTTTCCATCTTGAACTGACTGACATATAGCAAACGCTACTCCAAAGCCTGCAATTAATTTGTTTTTGTCTCACAGTTCACTCTTCCAGCAAACCTTTGTTTGGACCTCTGATGGAAAGGTTGACTGTGTCTGAAAATTATGCCTGCCACTCTGTAACCACTCATGTAAGTCATTTTAAAAACGAAAAACAAGCAAGCAAATCACAAAAGTAGCAATATCTCTGTAAAGAAGCTCAAGATTTATCAGTTGCTCAAGTCCATTTACTGGGTAACAAGATTCTTTCTTCTTGCTATACATGATATAAATGATAATCCTTTGAGGAATACAATGAAACTTGACACTACTGCAAATTTTTTGTGTATTTGAAAAAAATGTTCTAGTTCTCCTAATTATAGCCACTCCTTTTATCTCCCATATGCTGTACTATATAAATTCTGTCTTTCCTTACAAATTCAAATCTGTCATTTATATGAAGGTTCATACTTTATCCATATAAATCGGCCACCTCCTAACCACTTTTGTTTCTCTTCTCTAAACACCCTCCAATCTTTCAAAGTCTTTCCAATATCTGAGTAATCAATGACAGTTATGGTCCACAAGGTAGTCTCACAAACTGCTCTGCAAAGGCAGACTATAGCTGTTGCAGACTGAGGCACAACAACATAATCAGCAGTCCTCTTGAAAAACTTGCTAACTTCGTAATACTTTATAAGAAGCATTCTCTGCCAACAAGTAGAAGCAGCATCATTAAGTAATGGACATCACACAACCTCATTTGTTTGATCCATGGACCGTGATTCATATAACGCAAACCTCTTTTAGAGAAGAGGTGAAAAGTCTGAGTCCATTTAGTAGTGATCTTAGCAAAACAGCATTCAGTGACTGCCTGTAAGAGCTTATGTCAATTTAACCTGGATGCCTACATGCTGCTACTTTACCTACAAAAAAATCAGTACTCATGAATGCACAACTATTCACAGTACGAGAATGAAAAAACAGCCAAATGAAAAGTCTGCAAGAGAAAACCTTCTTTTATAAGCTCATTTCATAGATGGTAACTGAATATCAGCTTCAAAGCAATTGCAGAGCAACTCAGAGATGACCTTTTATTTTACACAGACATAATATCTAGCACCTGTAGCGATACTACAAATATGTTTCTGCATGATGGCACTCTTGCTGACATACACCTCTTAAGAACATTTCACATGGATTACTGTCATTTTTTTTGTGCACTCCTAAAGCAATCTTCCTTTAAGTTTGAAAATGAGATATTTACAAAAGGAAATCTTTTTTTTTCTTCTGCTAGCTTTTATATTCTGGAATACAAACACATCAAAACATTGAGTTTTTATTAAAAAGACTATTCCCCTCCGGTTACCAATATTCTTCTGACGTGTCATAAAATAAAAAAAAAAAAAAAAAAGCTGCTATTGGGTACCTGGTTACAAAGAACTTCCCATATGCTAAACAAGCAGAGATACCAGATTGCGAATACTGTTTTTTTAATGCTAGAAGAAAAGTCTTTACAAAATTTTTACTTAACATTTCCACCAATTTGGAGGGGTGCAAATTATTGGGTTCACTTATGTATGACATGTAACAAACTGATAAGTAGTTCACACCATCTGCCACAGAAAAAAAAAGTATAAATTAACATTTTTGATGGGCTTAAACTTCAGTCACAAAAAAAAGCCTTGTTCTCTTTTCCATCAGAAAATTAAAAGAAAATTACAAAGTGCACCAACAACTGCAGTCAGCATTTGCACTACCGTTATCATGGAAGTCAAAGCATATGCCAGAAAACTCCCTAATCTGTTTCTGTGTCTACTGGGCATATGGATGGCTATAAAATTTAGCTCTTGTGTCTTCCCTACGCACATGACCATATCACAACCGTATTGCTGTTGGGCATGACTAAGTTGTAATAGGTACTGAAAGAGCATGCAATGTAAAGATCATTTATAGAGAATTGTAGCACATACATTCTGCTATCACGCACTGGTATTAGAAGCTTGCCTAAGACACAGAGCGAAGCACAAACCAGGCCATAGGCTGTTTTACATTGCTCAGTCTCATTGTCTGATACCAGAAAATCCTTCTGTGAATATTAACCGCAGAAAACCCAACAATTGTAACAACTCCTGCCCAAGCAGTACCCTGAAAATTCAGTTCACAACGGTGAGAGTCAAAAGTCATAGCATCACTGCCATTTTCAGAGAAAATCACTTTCCAGAAGATTTGGAGGGGTGGCACTATTGAAGGCGGGCTAAACGTATGTATCCAAGACCACATCTATCATTTCATTTTCAAGAAGAGCTCATGAGAGCCTGCCGAAGGTAAAGCATCAGAATAAAAGTGTTATACAAAAGTTTTATACTTACCATCAGGTTTCGGGTCGTGGGGTTTTGTTGGTGATATTCAACAGCAGAAATACACAAAGCAAACTGCAATTTCAAACCTCTGCATGAGCAAGAAATAGTAGACAATTAAGGTTTCACCCACCTGGGATCTTTCTGAATGCTATCAATGGAAGGTGACCTAGCCAAGGTCCCCTCAGGTGGGATGGCTGGCCCAGATTTGCTGTATGGTGATTCAACAGAAGGACAATACTGCAGCTGTCGGTAGGGGTCTGCGTAATTGGAGGCTGGGCCTGCAGCATAGCTGGCCCTCTGGAAGGTCGCGGTTGCGTTCTGTGTGCCGTGTTGACTGCCTGTGCGCTGTAAGGGTACGGAGTCGACACCAGGGGAAGATGGGGCTACGACAGGAAAGTAGGGACAAAGTAAAAAATTGAGGACCTGTTCACAGAAATGGTTAACCAGGTCTAGGCAGAGGAAAAAAAAACACACACATATAAAACAGGGGTTCAAAAAGAATGAGAAAAAAAACAAAACAAAGAACATTGTCATTTTCAAAACCACTGAAGTAAGTAACCGTCAAATGAACTTCTAAATGTCATGCCACTTCTAGACTAGGGGGCCTTTACTTCAGCTAAATAGACTGTAGCAATGCTTTTCACTTGAGGTTTTACTTACACTAACCTGGGACAAAAAAAGCGCATAAAAAGCATAAAACTCATCACACCAGGGTTTACGAACACCATCAAATGGTTTTTGCAGCCTTTCAAGAGGTGAGCAGAAGGAATGGCCTCCTGAGCCTGATTTAACAAGCCAAGGTGTACTGTTCCTTGGCAAAGGAAATTGCCACAGCCAGCTGGAATTGTTATTCCTGGTGTCTGTGCAAAAGGTAAAACCAGATACCAGCCACTGACTGTTACTGTGTAAACTTGTGTAAACTTCTGTAACCTTCCCCTCCTCCCCCCCTGTATTTCATGATATAAAAGACTTACAGGCCTGCTACCACTACCTGAGTCTGAAAGAGAGCCAGGTACAAAGAGGCCAACAGATCTCTTAATGCACACCAATAGGGGTTGTACACCATGTTAAAGATTATTATCTTATCACTTCTGAGCAGCCTACTTACAGAGTTAAACTGATTTAACGCTTTTTCAACTAAAAAAATGTTACTAAACCCCCTCACAGCCCATTATCTTTCTGTTATGCAGCAGTGTATAGGAATATGGTCAACTTTGAGATCCTTACTAAATATACAATACTTTTAAACCAAAGTCCAAATGTAGGCATTTGGCTTTGCACTGTAAGGGCTAGAGAAGCAACAGCCACATAATCTTTAGCCTGAAAACAAATACAAATTAAAAGCTGGCTTGGACTGCTTACAATGGCAAGTGAATTCTTCATGGGTCCCATTTCCCCCCACATATGCAAGCAGGAATGGGCCTGGGTTCAGGACTATTTTTTGCTGAGTCAAATTCATACACAAAATTGTAGGCAAAACTGCATATTTGCATGATAGATGTTCGTAAAGTATTTCCCAGTCCTTTTTTTTTTTAATTAACATTTACATTGACACTTCAGGAAAGTAAACATTTTTGGTATGTTATAGATCCATGAAAGGGATTTTAAGCATCTTCCCTTTAAGCATCAGCAAATGAAATACACAGAGCTTAAAATACAATTACTGCAATTTTGTCTGAGCTACTATTTGTCAAAATTCACAGTTTACAAACATTCCAAGTTCGTATCAAACTCTGCCTTATTTTCATTTTTCCTGATTCTGAAGCATATTGCTCTACAATAACAAGTACTATCTCACAGCACTGTTACAAGCACAGAAAAGTGGAATTACCTTGATGTAAATTTTCAGCAAGATTTTAAGTACTGCTCTTAATTTTTACCAAATAATTCCTCATGAAATGAGGAACAAGACACATACAGACCTTTCTGTAAATCTGCATCAGTTAAAACGAAAGAACAATATTAGCATACCAGAACATCTCATGCACAAACCGTGCTAAATTCAGTGTTATGAAGACACAATAAAAACATCACTTTTTAACAGAAAATACACTTAAACTGAACATTTGGTGCCTTATAGGAAAAAAAAAAAAAAAGTGAAGAAGTCAGAGAATATTTTAGAAATATTTTTAAGGAGAGCAAAAATGGGGTTGTACACTGATACAGCTTGCTTTTAAGTATTGTCAGTATGCAGAACATGCCACTAGCTGTTGACACATCGCAGGGAGGATTGCATAAAAATCCTACAATGCTAACAGTGCAGAAAATAACAGCTACATTGTAACATACAATAGAATACATTGTAAAGAAATGTATTTACTTCTCAAGGCAGTTCAATGGAAACCATACTTGTTTTTAAACTACTTGAAAACTTTTCTTTCCATTTTCCCCTTTGCCTTGTTATCAAAATAAGTACTTACATGAACAGAAACTGTCACTCTAACACCTATGTGCTTTTTGAGTAACTGATTTATTTCTCAAATTATCTTCCTAAAAGAGAGTCTTGCTTCCTTTCAAATTTTATCACAATGAGCACAGAGCTACCAGAGTTGGAGTAGAAAAATGGAATAAGTCTGTGCCTTAGCTAAACATTCATTTCTCAGCTCGTTTGCCCAATGTTAGGCCGATTAAGCGTAAAAAGAACACACACAATCTGACAAACCAAATGCAAAAAAAAAAGCAAAAAAAAAACCACAAAAAACCCCCATTCACTTTAAAGTAACTTCGACATTTAACTGGAGTAGAGTCACTACCACGGGCTGTAAAACAGTTGAACTCAAGTAGACATTTTTACATGAATGGTTTCAAGTCAAACTAAAGCAAAGCCACCTTCTACCAACCCATTAGTTAAATTCTTTTAGCAGCTAGATTTACTGATTAACAGTAAGCCTATTAAACATAGTACTAAATGAGAAATCCCTTTGATTTAGCTCTTTAAACACCAAAGTCATAGTTATCATGCCTATTAAACAATGAAGTTCAGAAACCCATTTGTTTCACCAGGCAACATTAAATCACAGGGCACGCTGAGCAGACCAGAAAGCGTTCATGTACCAGACACATCTGAAGATGACAAAGCAACTACAGAGCATGCTTTTAAAACAGATTCACTTACTTGATCCTCCAACTTTCACATTTGACTTCTCACAAATCAAAAGTCAGACACAGCGGTAACTGTACAGCTACCATGACACACAGGTAGCTCCTCTCACGCTACCTGGACAAGGACCACGGCTTTGATCCAACAAAAGAAGAGAAAGAGGGGAGCTGTAGCAGTGTTCTGCAGTAGAAACACGCTAGCCCTCAGGCCAGTTTCCCTGGGACTTGGCCCATTCAAAACAGGAACGTGGCTGCCTTTGGTGCAGGATACAGAGCTTGAGTTTAAGTTTAACACCAAGGAAGTCTTCTGTAGCTTAGGCACTTCACTATGAAGTTTCTTATTATCAAGAAAGACAGTCAAATTTATTCCAGTTCTCATTTTGTTTTCCATTGTCTTCGCCCTCGCTTTTACGTGTTGTTTTGTTTAGTTGTTAATCTTGCAAAACTTCAGTGTCCAAATTCCATTCTATTCAATTTCCCGAGTTTATCCTCAGACTGAAAGGAGATAAAGAATTTGCAGGCAAGTCTTCCCCTTGCAGCCTCATAAGACAGCATCTTCTTCATCCATCCAGCCTTTGCTCTCAGCACTTCCACTTTTTAGGGCTTCCAGAATTGCACTGAACTCCACATAACCAACTGGAGAAGCTTCTTTCCCTTTATTGTCTCCATGTCCTCTCCCTCTCTCAGCTGTTTCTAGTTACCTTCTTTCTGCTGGGCCCCAACCTTCTCCAGATGCTTGCATTCTACGCATGGCAAGAAAGTTGCAACCTCCTCCCCTCCAGTTCCCACATGCCCAGCTCGCTGCTTTCAATAGCCAGAGCATGGCTGGTACAGCAGAGTGCAGTGGTTTGCTATCTCCTACTAGAGGAACATAACACACAGTACGTGGGAAATGCAAGCAAAGGGGAAACAGAACAGTTCAGAAAAAGGTCTCTTTTCCACCCATAAACATGCTACAGTTTTCTCAGGTACTGGCTATATTTGGCTATCACACCTACTTGTAATCAGTGTCTAAACACCGTTACAAGCGTGTATTCCAATTATTATTCTTTTTAACAAGTTTTAATAGATTTCCAATTGCATAGTAAGAAGGAAGAATTTACCCAAGTCACTGTGATATCATTCCTCCAGATGGTATCACAGGAGATGTTAGTTGTTCATACTTTCCTATCCCAAAGACGACACTATAGCTCCTTGGGAAATACTCAATATTAGTCTAACATAGTCCAAAATGCCATTCCTGTTTCTGTCAGCTGCAAAGAACATGCCACCGTTTTGTGGGGGGAACAATGCCATGCTTCACAGAATCCAAGGAAACATAACTTGTGCTCTCCGGATGGTCATGAATAATAAATCCTGTTCCAAAGGAAACAGTGATGATCTTCGGAGACTGAAGAACTGAAAGCAGTGCCTGCATTTACACATCCTTTCACTTCAATTTTCTAAGAACACTTTTTAGATCTGACATTAATTGTTACAAGGCTGAGTGTTCCTTCGCTCAGGAAGTTGATGCCCCTTCACTGATTTAGCATTACCAAAACAAAACAAAACCAAACCAAACTACTACTTTTCTTTCTAAGCTATGTCTCTACATCTACATCTGTGCATTTTTCTGAGGGGACACAAAGATTTTATGCAGATACTCAGAATCTTCAATCAACTGCATACTTTAAATTACTTCAAATTCTCAGCTCTTTGCCTCAAGAGAGAAATGATTACCTTTTTTGCAGGGCAGAAGCCATGACTTCCAAGTTTTTAATAGGCGAAAAACCAACCCCCTTCCACCTTCAGAAACTAAAGCATACTTCAGATCCACTAGATTTTAATTTCTACTAACTTACATAGCTTGCATTCTCAGGCTTTCAGCTGTTTAGCATATTCCAACATGCTCCTCTTTGGGAAAAAAAAAAAATGCTACCTTCAGCTCCTAAAGATATTCTGCCAAGACCTTTTCTCAGACTGCTTCTTGCCTCTGAATTGTATCCCTGAGTCTGGGGAGAACACACAGCTTAATTCATTTGTTACAAAGGCATTTAAATGGAGAAAGTATCAACTGCCAATGCCCTTGAAAGCAATTGACCTTTTAGAGATATTAAAATTCATCATGGGAGATGGAATTCAACCAAGACCAATTGCACAACAGGAAACACATACAACACTTCAATCTTCTGTACTATGAGGCCAGCTCCAAAAGTAATGCCTCCTATTTTACTACTTTGGCCCACAATGACAGAGATGGATGCTGGTGGTAGGGCAGTAGAGGTCGAACCTTCCCATCAATATT